TGTGAGGGGCAGAGACTTCAGGATGAGCTGGTGAGAATGGGAAATGCTCTTTTTGGGAAGACCTGAAGTGCTGTTTCTGTTGTCTGCCCTGGTTACAGTGCTGCAGCAGAATTCAGTGTGGGACTGGCAATCTCCTCAGCAGGCACCTCCCAATACCTGCCTACAAGAGTCCCTCAGACCTCTGCTGCATGTCATCCCCCTGCCAGGCTGTGAGATGATTCCATAAACATCCTGATGCACACTTTGCAGCCAGGGTCATAGCAGTGAAGGACTAAAGCATGTAATCTTGGCCTTCCCAGCCTCATTCTGCCTTCTTTCTTCTTTCTCTTTGCAATGGATGGCAGCGTGGAGGCTTGCTTGGCTGCTGTTTGGGACCTCATTTAGGTGCTGACGTGCAGACCGGGGACCAAGACAAGGAGGAAGAGAAGTCCTGCTCTGCTGAGGCCACCAAGCTCTCAAGAACAGCAGTTCTCAGGGCTGTGTTTGCACAGGCAGAAGCTGGGGCTGCAGCAGCAGGTGGGATGTGTTTTAGGGACTTCAGGTAGAAAGCTGTATGCTTTTGCTCCTGACATGTGTTGGTGAAAACATGGGACACTAATGGACATGCCGGTCCTGCTGAGGATGTAGGGGCTGTGCTGTGGGGCAGGGAACAGGCTTCTCTATGGATGGGAGAAGCTTCCTCTCTTCCTCCTGTTAATAGAGAAGGGGATGGAGTACAGTATTGCTGAATAAGAGTGGAAACTGCCTTTTGGCAAGTCTGTCTTTGCTGTTTCGTGGAAGTCAGCATTAATTATGCAGAGTGCAGGAAGGGAAGCCTCTGGTGCTTGCACGGAACCTGGTTTGATGTCCTGCTCTTACTGTGTCTTTGACCCCACTACGGTCTGTGGTATCAAGCCATGCTTGTGGTGAGGAAAGGGCTTGGATACCTTGAGCTGTTTACCACCATTCCAGCCTCACAGCAGCTTCCCATGAACTCCCTGCACCTTGTCTCTTGATGCTCAGGAGCTCATGCTGATGTTAGCATCTCAGCCCAGGCTGAGCCAAGCTTTCCCTGGCCTACAGCCTTTAAGGGGAAGGAGGGACCAGGACAGACACTTTTAACCATGTTCCAGTGCAGCAAAGTTTGTGTGGTCAAAGATGCTCCTTTACCTGTGATGGTAGCATAAGATGTAAGGAAACATGCAGGGTCCTCCCCTAGAGGGAGACACTGGGATCAAAACAGAAAGCTTCGCAAAACCACCTCTGCCTTCCGTGTGTATTTGAGTCGGGGAGAGCAGCTGTTGCTAGAAAAATCCCCTTATCCTTCCCACACTGCTGGAAGGGATTTCCTTTCGTAATTGGGAACTGTGCTTCTCACCGTAAGACTCTGTGTGCTGCAAGGACCACCTTTCCTCCCTGCCTGAAACACCGTACCCAACATGAGCTGCCTGCAGGGCTGGCCCTGCACCTTGCAGCACAGGACACATTGGAGCTTGCCCTGCCTGGCTGAAGGTGGGGGCAGAGTCCCCTGGAGTGAGCATCTGAGACCAATGTAGAAACCAAATGCAAGAAAAGAGGTATTGGCAGACCCATGAGTTGTACTGTGCCTGGGAAAACCAGCCAATCTCCTGCTCAGCTGGAAGATTCCTGGGAAAGACCTTTGGTGAAGGATACTAGGGAGGCACTATTGATGGAGATTGCGGAGTTGGTTGCCAAAGCATTTTTCTTAGTTGCCTAATTGGTGTTGTAACCCCAGAAGAGCCCTGGTGGGTCTGACCTAACTGGCAGGTCACCTCTAGCCTGCTGCCAGATATTCTTGCACTGGGAGAACTAGAAGGGCATGAACATTCTGAACATTCCTGTGAGCTTTTCCCAGCTTCCTACACATCTGAAGCACCTCTGTCTCCATGGGGAGCCCCTTGTGCTTACCAGCTGGGTGAGAGGATCGTGTGGACTGCTTCTATGCCTCCTGACTCAGCTCCTGAAAAGCTCATGAGAAGTGTGAGCTTTGGGTATATGCCACATCTCTTCCATTGCTGGGTGTTCTGGCTGGGTTACCAAAAAGGCTAGGAAGGTTTATATCCACTCCATCCTCTAGGCTTCAGAGAAAAAGTATATCTCTGGGACCCGTCTCTCTGAAATGTGTCTTAAATTACCTATAGGGTTGCAGAATTTGTCTTCAGCATGTAATGGTTTGTATAAATAATGTTTAGATAGGGCTGTGGGCCATGTAAGCATATGAGCCTTATTTCTTATAAGAAAGATGGCTGGAACAATGGGGCTATAAAACATGCAAGAATGAGGTAAATAGTTTGGTGTCTGCAGAGGATAATCATAGTTCCCTGATCTCTTGCAAGTCTTTCAATACTGTGGTAAAATAGCAGCGTCGGGCAAACTTGTGTAACTTGCTTGGATGTTCAGAAAACCTCTGAAATTTCTCACAGTAAACTGTTAAGAAAACTGTCTACTGGAGGAGATCTAGACTTCTGGCTCAAAAATTGGCTAAGGTTCCACAAACAAAGTCAAGGAGTGAACTAGCAACTTTAATATGACAAGAGCAGAGGGATGAGGTCCTTTGCTATTAATGACCCAGAAAAGGTGATGTGCAGCAAGGTACGTAAAATCTGCCAATACCCTAGTGTCATTCCGATTTGTCAGGAGGAGGTGACTCCGGAGTGACACCACATGTAGTGAAGTGCTGTGAGAAAATGAGAAGCGTGCAGCCAGGTGTACTGGAAGGAGTGATTTGCTCTGGGACACAGCTGGCTTCTAATTTACCTTGGCTACTCAGGGCAGTGGGATTGCAGGCTGATGACAGAGATGCTTTTCCTCAATATGCAAAGATGCCATCAGAGAAATTAATCGTGCTCAGCCACATGAAGAGTAGTGTAAGGAGAGATGCCGAGAGCACCGGTGTGCTGTTCTGGCAGTCAAGGTCATTTTCCTACCCAGGATATTGTATGTGGTTCTGGTCACCTTTTCATAGAGTCAGAAAAGAGAATGTGTTCAGAATGTGTGGGTGAATGGTTAGATCTAGAAGACATCTTGTGTCCTGGGAAGGAGAGAGCACTTAGTAGTGAACTTAGTAGGTCTAGAAAAAGCAAACACTTTTCTTCTTTGCCTTTTTTAACTCTATAAGGAGAACTCAAGGCTGTGGTGTTAAAATAGAATTGTAGTCTTTACTCAAAATCTGGAACTCATTGCTAAAAGTTTACAAGGTTCCCAAAAAGGATTGAGAGATACTTCTTTTTTCATTCAGTACATCTAGATTGCACTTATAGAGGCGTGTAACCATTCATGCTCCGAAGTGTGTGATATTCCTTTGAGTCTCATCCCATCTTTTTTCCCATTGCTCCCCTAGAGCTTCCGAGTCTAGTTAATTCAGCCAGGAGGAGTTATCCTGTCTTTCTGATTTATTCTGAACTGTGATTTCATGTCTTGGCTTGTTTTTTCTCTTGCTTTTCTGCTCCCTTGTTCTGCTCTAGGCAGCCCTGCTCCATCTCTGTACCTGTGAATTATATCTTAACAGGTTGTTTTGTGGCTTTTCCAATTTGGCTGACCCCCTCTCAATGCCTGTGCCCAGCTGGGCTATTGCTTCTCGGGCTGCCCTTTGTCATCAGTGCTTCAGCTGGTTTGTCGTTGTGCAACCGTCGGAGCTGGGCTGGGAGGGATCACTTTGAAGCAGAGCTCTCTAGGTCACCGCAGTGAATCGTTTTGTGGTCATTATCCACGAATAGCTAGCGTTGTGCTGTGATGCTGATAAATCTCTGCAGCCAGGCAGGAGATGGCCAGGATTATACCCGTGAGCTGGAGGTAAGAGTCCTGCATCCCCTCTGCTAATGTCACCAAATGATGCAGAGCTTGAAGGGCAGTGGTGGTGGCAGCTTTCTCATCCTTTGGGCAAGAGATGGCTCTCTTGCCCAGCCCTGAGGGATGGCATTTCTGGGGGAAGAAAACCCCAGGCATTGCCCAGAAGTGATACTCTGCTATCCAGCCTTTGTGTGATTCATGGTAGTAGTGAAGGATTTGGGGTAGTTTTGGATGCTGGATTAAGAGAAATGGTTTAGGAATCAAAAGCCTGTATCTTCCTGCTAAAGCAGATCTTCCTACTATCATTGTTCTTTCTGCAACTGATGGGAATTTCTCAGCCTGTTCCAAAAACTGGTTGTGTTTCTGTTGTCAGCATGTCCTTCTGAGTTACTCAGTTCGCGTTTTTCTATTGCTACCATTATCATCTCCTTGTTTCTTACGGAGCTGCTCTGCACAGAAGGAGGATCTCCCCATGTCCAAGCAGTGATGCTGACCTGTAGGCCACTGTGGGTCTTGTAACAGTTTGGGGAAGGCACTGAAGTAAATAAAATATTTGACCAGCTAAATAACAGAGCCTAAGCTTCCTTTCTACTCTGTGTGCTTGCATCTAAATGGCCTCCAAGTCAGAGGAAGGAGAGAAAACAAGCAGGGGGTGTGACCAGCTCCTGATGGGTGCCCTGGGAGCTGGAGGCTGAGGCCCGCAGTGAAGGGAGGATGATGATTCAGCCTAATAAAGCTAATGGCTTTATGCAGTCAGGCAAAGGAAATTGTGGGATCATGATGCAGCAACTGTCCTATAGCAATTTGTTTCTATCATCCAGACGTGACTTCATGCCCCAACCCCACCCTTTCACTTTTTCCGGTACCTAAATGCTTTCACTGCTGAGGAGGGGGAGCTGAGACACCGTGTTCTCAGGAAGAAAAGTAGTCTGTGACACAGTTGCACCTAAGTGGTGTGAGAGTGGACAGACAAGGAAGGGAGTTCTGTGACTCCATGGTGGGACCATAGCTGCTGAAGCATATGGGTTCTTCTGGCACCACCTAACTTAGCAGGCTTCTCAGATGACCTTGTCCTTGGACACTGGTCCCAGGAAAATCCTACAACACAGAGAAGCCTGAGCTGGCAGGCAAGGCTGGCCCCAAACTCCAACAGGGCTATGTTGTCATCATACTAGCAGATGTCTAACCTGCTTTTTTTCTCTTTTCCCCAGGGAAGACGATGAAGCTGTAGAGATGCTTCCCTACGTCATCGCCACCCTGGGCTCAGTAGGGGCCCCCTGCAAAACTCCCACATGCAACAACAACAGCACTACCAAGGACTACTGCTACAGTGCTCGCATCCGCAGCACTGTGTTGCAGGGGCTGCCCTTTGGTGGGGTGCCCACTGTCCTAGCCCTTGACTTTATGTGCTTTCTTGTAAGTCTACCTACTGTTGCTTCAATACCTTCTCCATAATTGACCAGGAAATGAGGATGGTGATCAGATGATTAGGGTTGAGAGCCCCCAGTGCCATCCCTGACTTTGCTGCTGGCTGACATTCTGGTCCTGATCGTGTCTTCTAAATGCTATGGGCTTAGCCACTATTGACTTAGCTCCAATACCACCACACTGAGCCCCGTGGAAGGGTGTTGGAGTTGCGTGGAAGGATGGGGGTGATGTTGGGTCCCAAAACTCCCACCTATGTTGCCAAGTCCCTGCAGCTTTATCCACCCAATGGCTTTGCATGTTCCTCCTTAGAAGCTGTGGCACCACAAATGATATAGCCATAATTTTGACTTCTGGGAACCTTGGGGTTTTCCTGTGGGGTTACCTTAGCTATTGTTGCATCCTGGACCTCTCCTCCCCTACCTATCCAGATAGTCTGATTTAAAAGTCCTGGGGACCTTGTGCTGTCCTGTGGTCTCAGTGTGCCCTTAACTGAAGACTCTGTCCCCTCTTACCCTCCTTGTGCCTGTGGCTCTGCATGCAGAGGACAAGGGCACAGTTGGACAATGCCTTTTCTCACAGCTTCTCTTTTGGTCTCTTTCAGGCACTGTTGTTTGTGTTTTCAATTTTGCGTAAAGTTGCTTGGGACTATGGACGGCTGGCCCTGGTGACTGATGCTGACAGGTAAGCATGGGAGAGTGGCAAGGGAATAAAATGAGTAGTGCCCTTTTTTGCTGTGAGGCAGAAGAGATAAATCCCATTTTGTGTGCCTGAGCAGCTGGAGAGGAGAGGCAAATGTGCCAGTTACATCCCCTGAGCTCCAGTAATAGGAAGAAATCCCCACTTTCTGGCTTTTTTGTTACAGCATCCTTCTCCCAACACACGGAGTGGTCTCCATGGCTCCATATCGCTTATGGTCCCTTCAGTGACACAGATATGCAGGGGCCCTTGCAGAGGAACAGCAAATGAAGGGAGGATAGGAACAAGAGGTCACAGGAAGGGTGAGGGCTGCCACAGTAAAGGCTTTGTTAAGCCTCTGAAGGTGTCTTTGTGACTCTGCTGGATTCAGCTCTTGTTAAGAGCACTTGACAGTAGTATGCTGCTTTTCCAAATGTGGTGCTTCTGTGTTGATCTGAGCTTAGCTCACATCCCAAGTGCTGATGAATTGGTCTGGGTGTCGATCCTTCCTGCCTACAGTGACTGTCAGCAAAAGCCAGGGCGCATTGGGGATGGCAGCTCCCCAGCAGAAGGAGCATTCCCCGCACAACAGTGGAAAGAGTTGGTTTTTTCCAGCATCGAACCAGGAATTCTCCTGGGTTAAATAAGTGGTCCTGGATAGGGTTAGATAAGCAGCTATGTCCCTATGGTTCCTCTGCCCATCCTTTCCTGGTCTGGCTAGGGAAATCAACTGTACAGAAGTAATGGAAGGCAAACCAGGAAAAAGGAGTAATTGTAGGAGACCTCAGTGGGGAGAGGGCAGCAGGCTTAAGCAGTCTGGATCCAGGTGCTGGCAGGAAGCCATGAGGGCTGCACAGCTCTAGCTTCCGGTGAGGAGAGAGAGCTGGATTTTCTCTGAGGCAGTGCTTGAGCACCTTGGGTGCAAGGGAGGAAAAGCAGTAGCTGTAGGCAGAAAGGCAGAGGGGTGCCAGCTGTTTGGAGAGGGACAGAGTGGCTGTGGATTGAGCTGTGGATCAACAGGACTGTCGCAGCAGGGAGGAGCCCATCCTGCTTGGCTCATCCATGGGTTGTGATGAGATTTTCAGGAGGGGGATGCATGTGTGTTTGTTGCCTGGGTGGGGAGGAGGTATATGGAAGGGGAGCTCAGATGGCAGCCAGGGAGTTCCTACAGTCTCTCCTACCTGACCCCATCACTCGGGAGCTCCCTGCAATGGCTATGGGATGGAGCCTGGTCACCTTCCCAGTGACGCCAGCTTCCCTTCAGCTGGCAGCAAAGCCTTCTGCCCCTGGACCAGTGGCTGTTCCAGATTGCTGTGACTTGAGGTATTGCTGGGCTCTGGAAGGAAGGTCTTCTCCAGCCTGAACGTTGGCAGGTTTCTCTTCTTCCGGATGATGGGGAGCTGTGTTGGATGCATAGTTCCCTGCAAAAGAGGAGAACTCAGCACCTACTCCCATAGTTGTAACCTGTCCCTTTCTGTTTCTGTGTCCCCAGGCGCCGACGCTGGGAGACGGAAAGAGAGGAGCGGGAATAGTATGTTGTTTTTTCAGGGTCTCATTTCTTGTCTCTTTCTTGCTCACAATCTCTCCTTTTTTCTTGCAGCTGTCTTGCTTCTGAACTAATTCTAAATGGCTGGGAGTTTGGGCATGAATTTGTGTCTCTTGGTGGATTTGTGTCTTTTTTCCTTCCCCTTTGTGTCATCCACTACCACAGCTGAATGCACCCTGGTTTTCCCCTAGTATCCCTTAAATGCTCCCGGAGAGCAACAGTGCCAGGGAGCTCTCCGTCCTGACCAAGGCAGAGGATGTTGTATCACATGCCCTGCTCTATCTGTTTGTGTCCAGCTATCCTCCCTTATGATGGAAGTACACAAACCTGCTTGCCTGAGCCCACAGTATACTTGGTCATCCAGGTTCAGGGGAGGCTACCTTGCCTGGTTCTTCTTGTGCCAGGTTGCCATAAGAGCTGTTCCCTTGCCATCTGCAAAGGTAGGCAGATGCACAAAGAGGATCTGGCAAGAGTATTGTCTTTCCTTTTTACCCAATGAGGCTGCTGGGACCAGGGCAACCTTTGTCCCTTGCCGCCTAAACCCACACCCAGCAAGGCAGCACTCTTGATTTTCTCTCTTTCCCTGTGGAAGAAAACTTTTACCTCAGTGCTGCTGAAAGCATCATTCATCACCTTGGCCTGGTGGTGCCCATTAAGCCCTGCCATGGATTGTCCTCCCTGTTCTTACTTCTTTCTTGCTGCTTTTACGCCTGAGAAACGACCATTGCCTTGCTGGGTATGTGCTGCAGAAGGGAGAATCAGCTGGCACTGCACAGCCTGCCATGGTCACTCTAGCCACACTGATTTGTCTGAGACCAGGGCAGCAAGCTGCAGCCTCCTTTTCCCACTTGCAAAGCAGGGGCCTGCTACTGCCTTAAAGGAGGTACAAGAAAGTGCCTGGTTTTGCAGCTGATCCTTGCCCTCGGGAGCAGAGCAGTCAAAGTCATTAGAACTGATGGTCGCTGTGGTACATGGCACAGAGGGGACCTCTTGCTCATGCTTGACTGCTTCACTAGTGATTGGCCCTGCTTCAGGTGTGTCTGGCAACTTTTCACTGCTAACATCTTGTGGGGGGAGTCAGGCTGAGGTAGTAGAGCCATCATGCTCTGAGTATTTTTTAGGGGGCCACTTCATTTATCCTCACAAGTGCTTGTCTCTCTCCAGGGGGCCACTTCCTCCTGCTCCTGTTTTTCTTTTGAGCTTGCTGGAGCCATCTGCTCCACACACACCACACATACCACCACTAAAGCTACTGCATGAGCTGGGACAGTGTTAGCAGCCAGAAGCCTCCAGAAACCTGTAGAATTCAGTGAGGAAGTCTAATTCTGTCTGTGCTCCTTCAAGGCTAATGGCACATTCCCATCCCAGCTGTTCTCTGCTGGGGAGTGCAGTGACAGGTGGTGGGTTAGGAACATGTATATGTCACCTGGTGCTCCCAGCCCCTGAATGTACAACATTGTTCTTTGCAAGAGAGGGCATCCTCCTCTGATGTGTTCCCTTTCCCTGAGAACCAGCAAGTGCCCTTGTCCTGTGACTTATCAGAGCTTGCAGTAGCCATCAACAGTCTCAGTTGGCACCTCAGTCTGCACTGGGTGGTCACAGCAGCCTGCTTGCATCTCTGTGTATGAAGGAAGTGGTCACAGAGCCCTGTGGGGCTTGCCACTGTGCAGCCACCTCCAGCAAGCCCATTCCATGGCATGCTTGGACTGCCCTCTTGGAGCCTGTGATTCCTTTGGCCTGGGACTAGCTGTGCCTCAGACCCTGTCCTTCTCCTTCCCTGGCAAGGCCTGCACCAAATTTGCATCAGGCAGGGTCCCACCTTAATCTTGTGATTTAGGTCAGTCTTGCTTTCACCCATTCACACTGCTTTCACCTTTTACACAGTGCTTTGCTTTAAAAAGTCTCCATCCAGGTGCAAGTGCTGTTGGAGCTCCCTCTTCAGCTTTCTTATCTTTGGCAAGATTTTGCATCCTCTGTCTTCTAAACAGTTCGGGTCATCCTGATTATTGTCACTGCATCCCCCTGCCTGGAGCTTAGTTATCCTGGTTATCCAAAAGTTCATGGTGTCATCATGCTGGGCTTTCCTCAGGGCAGAAATTTCTCTCCAGCAGAAATTCACCGTTGCTCCCTGTGCCCAGCTGCAAGGCCTCTGTGATTATAAAGAGCTGAAGGTCTGAGAGCTGGGTCAAAGCTGTCTGTCTCCCTCCAGCAGAGCAGGGTGTTGGGCTGTGCAGTGGCAAGGCTGCACACCACTGTCTAATTGGCACTACTGTAGTCTCCTGACCTTCAGCTAATCTCCTTTCCCCTGTTTCTCTTACTTCCAGCTAGGAACTGGGGACTCAGTAGGTGCTACTCTGCTCTGAGAGAGGCCACGTGTCTTACCCACTTTCCTTCAGAATGTGCATAAGGATCTCTGCTTGTTCTCCTTCCCATGGTGTCATCCTCCTCCTCTCCAGCACTTCTCTCAGTAGCTGTTTCTCTGTGTTCTTGCCCATCTTACCCTCCTTGAGCCTGTACTGACTAAAGGGAGACCATATTTTCATTTGGTTTTTTTCTTTGTTTCTAGCCTTCAGATCAGTCATCTCTCTTCTTGCACCTCCGAGATCCCAGCATGCTGTTGTCACCTTGCAATTGCTATTTAATTTAGATCTTTGGACCATTTTCTTGCCTCCTTTTCCAGCTGCCCTCTGCCTCTATTTGTAGTGGGCACTGTTGTCAGCCTTGGATGCTTCTTCTTCAGGTTCTTCATCTAGGTCCCTGTCTCTGGCTGGAGTAAGCAGTTTTGTGATATTTCACCCCTTTTGCTTTCCTGTCCTTTAGCATGTAGGCATTCAGTTCTAGCTGTCTGCCCTGCTCCTGCTCAAGGGATTTCCAGGCTGGAGGCTCAGCTGAGACTAGGAAGCAGGTTACACTGAGCCTGGCTCCAGGCAGCTGCATTCTTCCTCCTACACTGAAGCACTAGGGGTGGGGAGGACTGGTGTAGCAGGATGCAGCCCACCAGACTCCTTCCTTCCTCTTCCTGAAGATGATTGAGGTCCTCTAGGACAGTAGCTGCTACCAATGCCTCTCCAGCTATGCCAGAGCCAGAGGGGCTGTGGCTGCCTCCAGTTCTCGCTTCCTTTCTGCTATCTAAATCCTGTGCTAAACAGACCTCACCTCTCCTCTGTGGCAGCCTCTGCCAGCCTCTCCTTGCAGGGACTGCCACATAGTATTGTGTGCCTTTCAGAAGGTGCCAAACAAGTAGCATCCGTGGGCTAAGCCCATGGGCTTTGCCAGGCTCAGCATGCCATCTGAGGAGGGCTCTCTCTTTACTGCTATCTCTGATCTTACCTCTCTCCATCTCACTGGGTGCAAACTGACCTGAATTAACCTCTCGTCTCCTGGGTGCTCTTGGTTCCTGGCCAGGCTGCCTCTTCACGTCTTCTAACTTTCTCCCTCACCTCCCACTTGTCATTTTAGTGTAGCCTCCGCCCTGCATTCTGACAACCATGACCGCTACGAGCGCCTCACCTCCGTCTCCAGCTCTGTGGACTTCGACCAGAGGGACAATGTGAGTAGCCACAAGAGTCAAACACTTTGCGGGGCCAGGAACCCACAGCTTGGCTGAACCCAGGGCTCTTCAGAAGAAACATTTGCGCCTGTTCTTGGGCCTTAAGTCCCACATCTTGTAGTGTGTGAGTGCTATGTAGAGCTCAAGGAACTATGCAGCTCTTAGACACATGCTTAAATAAATAGGCACTACATCACTGTGGCTTAACAGACATCTGTCCAGCCTATAATCTCAGCATTACAAACAATACTTACTTGCCAGCTCTTCCTCACACTGCGGTCTACCTCACTGGCTTTTTCCTTACTGAAGGGGAGAATAATGGCTGTGATGGATGGGGGGTGAAGCTCCCCTAGATGTCGTTTGAGGAGCACTGCCTTGGCCCAGCCTACCTTCCTAATCCTTACAGAGCTTCTCTTGTCCAGCATGATGGCTGAAGTGTCCTGTATGCTGACTTTTCTGGATCTGCTATGGCTTTGGAGAGTTTCCATATTAGTCAGGAGCCCATGGGTTGCCTGGAGGTTGAACTGCCAGTTGGTAGGGGAGAGCCACACAGCAGAGTCCGACCTGTGTGGTGCTCCGTGGAGTAGCATTGCCACCTCCTTCACATTGGCCCATCTGTGGCTCTGCATATCTGGGTGCTTGTGATCTGCCCCTGCCCTGAGCCAAGTATGTGGAGGTGCAAGGACACCAGCCTGGTCCTTGGAACCTTTGAAGGAGGGAGCTGGGATAAAGGAGCACAGTGTTGTGAAACAGTCCTGTTTTCTTTTTGCACAGGGTTTCTGCTCCTGGCTGACAGCCATCTTCAGGATAAAGTAAGTGCCCCAGGACCTGTATGGGGAACTCATATGGGGAATGAGGGACAGTGCAGGGTTGTTGGGACACTCAGTGCAGTACAGCTTCATGAAGTCACTGCCCTTGCTGCAGCCTCCTCTCTGAAGAGCACAGATGAAGTTTGTCCTCTGGAGAGGACAAGCAAAGACAGGACTACATGAAGAGTCCGAAAGCCAAAATAAGGTCACAAAGTGAGTCTGTGACAGAGGAGGGAACCCAGGCCCATAGCTGCCCCCCCTCAGAAACATCTCAGAAACACTGTCCACTGCTCTGCAACGATACTAATCTCCCTGGCACTCTTGCTAGGGGCGCTGCTGTCTCAGGGATGTCTATGAAGAAGGCAATGGAGCATGCAGGGAGACACACTCAGCTTGATGATGCACAGGAGTAGTCAGCATCTGTATCTTAGTAGGGAAGGCAAGGCCCACCTGAAGGGTATAAGGTATGTCCAGTTGCCTCGCCTGGGGGACAGAGAGCAGGGCTGAGTAATCATTGCACAGGCAGGTTTCTCCCCAGGCTGCTTCAAGGCTGAGTGCTGGGCTTGCAAATCCACAGTCTGGCTACAGCTCTGTAGGGCAGAACCAAGGGATGCTTTGTGTGCTCAGATCAGGAGGGCAACCTGCAACCCTGTACTTTTCCCCAGCACTTGAGGAAATGTAGAAAATTGCCTGACAGCTTTTCTCTTCTTGGCAGGGATGATGAGATCCGGGACAAATGCGGGGTTGATGCAGTGCACTACCTGTCCTTCCAGAGGCACATCATTGGGCTGCTGGTGGTCGTGGGTGTGCTTTCTGTGGGCATCGTGTTACCTGTCAACTTCTCAGGGGACCTGCTAGGTGAGAACAAGGAGCCTTTGGCTGGGCTGGGGCATCTGCTTTCAACACCATGTTCTAGACCACTGGGTAGCAGTGGAGGGCGGGACAGGACTAGCACAGACAAACCTTAACTGCTGTCTCACTTTGACTGTAGTGCATCCACGGGGTCATCCTGTGTAACTTGGGGTTTTAGGTATTCTGCAGGTGATACTCTTGCTGTAGCTTGCTGTAGTGGTGCTCTGTCCCACTCACTATAACTGAACATGTTTGTGTCTGCCTCTTTCTCTCTAGAAAACAATGCCTACAGCTTTGGGAGGACAACTATCGCTAACCTGAAGTCTGGGTATGTGTGGGCAGAAGTGGGATGGGTAACTGAGGCCCTCAAGGGGTGATTTATAAATGTTCACTTGCTGCAGAGCCTCATCTCCTTTAAGGTTGTATTTCTGCCCTTGCTGTGAGGCTACTGTCACTGCTCCAATTTCTAGGCTGAGCTCCTGGAATTTGGTTGTAGGGCTTCTGTGTGCTATGCTGAATACATTCATGTCTCCAGTGCCTTCAGGGCCTGACCAGCCATACAGAGACTTGTAGTGGCAACTTTGCATTGACCTTTGTGGTCTCCCTTGTGACAGGAATAACCTGCTGTGGCTGCACACCACCTTTGCTTTCCTGTACCTGCTGCTGACAGTGTACAGCATGCGCCGGCACACTTCCAAGATGCGCTACAAAGAGGATGACTTGGTGAGCAGGATCTGGCCACTCCCCCATGCACTTTTTCCCATGCCCTGTGGTCAAGTCAGATAGCCTTGGAGAGAATGCTGAGCACCTCAGTTTCCACAGCAGTTTAATACTGTCATGTTTTGGCTGGTTTTATTCTGCCTGGCCAAAAGCAGATCACCTCCAGAGCAGCAGCTGTGACTGCCTGTGGGGAAACGGGAGAGGGCTGCACTGGATAAACGTGTGGAAGGACCCCATTCTTCCTTAGGGGTTGTTACAGCTGCTTTTGCCTTCTTAATTTCTGAAGGATAGCTGTGTTTCTGTTCAGGCACCTACAGTGTAAGTCCCTAGCCTATCAATCTGCAGCACACCCGGGTGCAGGATGACAGCAACGATGGGGCTGCTCTTTTTCATCCTCGACACAGGTTTTGGAAGGGGGGCTTGCTGCAATCTGGTCTTTTACACCATCCACACCTACCTGTCTTCTCCTTTCTCTCTTCTTTCCAGGTGAAGCGAACTCTATTCATCAATGGGATCTCAAAATATGCTGAACCAGAGAAGATCAAGAAGCATTTTGAGTAAGTCTCACTGTGTCCCTAAAGACTGCTCTGTAACAGGGATGTTTTTATAGGGGTAGTACTAGTGTTATCTGGAATGGCAATAATACATTGAGAGCAGAGAGCTAGGCAAAGTCAGTGAATACATTTATTTTGGGCCCCTCACTGTTCTTTTTCTGCTTTTTATCTTAATTTGAAGCATCCTTTGTTTTGTGCCTTGAGATAGGCCCGGTTATCTCTTGCAGAGCTATCAGGGGTCAGTGTAGTAAGCAATGGACAGGGCATGTCTTGAGTTGTAGTTAAGTTCACAGGTGAGATATAGGCAGGATCTGCTCAGGCAGTGACTTTGGGATGTTGTGCTGCTGCCCTGATCGCAGTTCTTGTAGAAAGTATATTTGTTTAACAAGAAAATTGAATTCATCCTCTGTCGGAACCTCGCTGTCAGTACCATGTTTAGAAGTACCATGGGTAGAAAATAAATGCTTTGTACCCTTTGGGAACCCTTCTGCTTCTTTCTGACCACAAGTCTATGAAGGTAGAGAGTGGAGTGTGGGGTCAGAGAGGCTTACAGCTGTTATAGGGCAAAAGTCGAGAAAGGCTCCTTATGCCAAAACCTAAAGGGTGTAGCATTTACCCTGTATTTTGCATCTGCTGTAAGGGACAGAGCCTGCAGGCTCCCCTGCAAACTCTTGGTATGCGTCACTGTACTCAGCCCAGAACACTCTTCTCAGGGCCAGAGAGAAGTCCTGAACACTTGGAGTTTGCTTGAGGGATACCTTTGGTGTCAGTTGTGACAAACTGATGCTTCTTATCCACAGGGAGGCCTATACCAATTGCACTGTCCTGGAGGCCCGTCCCTGCTATGATGTTGCCCGGCTGATGTTCCTCGATGCAGAGAGGTAACCTCTATTTTGGGAGAAAAGGCAGAGTGGGTTGATGCTGCTGATACCGCCTCGGGTCTGGTGCCACAGAGCTTTAATGAGTCACTCTCTTTCTTTCCTTTCTTCCATCTCTTCTGCTCTCATGTTTCAGGAAGAAAGCTGAGCGTGGACGAATCTACTTCACCAACCTGCAGAGCAAGGACAACACCCCATCCATGATCAACCCCAAGCCCTGTGGCCACCTGTGCTGCTGTGCCATCAGGGGCTGTGAGGAGGTAGGGGAGAGCTGGAGGTGTTGGACAGCAGCTGAGTGTCCCGTGGCTTGGGTCCCCAGATCATCTCTCCTCTGACCTCTGTCCTTCTGCTTAGGTGGAGGCCATCGAGTATTACACCAAGCTGGAGGAGAAGCTCAAAGATGACTAC